ACCGGGATGGGGAATACATGTAAATCCATGGCTAATTCATTTCAATGTATGACAAAAACCACTGCAATGATGTAAAGTAATTAGCCTCCAACTAATAAAAATAAATGGAAAAAAAAATAAAATTAAAAAAAAAAATAAATAAAATAAAACATATTTATTTGACTGCGCTGGGTCTTAGTTGTGGCATGTGGAATCCTTAGCTGTGGAACGTGAACTCTTAGTTGAGGCATGCAAACTTTCAGTTGAAGCATCCACTTCCTGGACCAGGGATGGAACTAAGCCCCCCGTGTTGGGAGCCTGAAGTCTTAACCACTGGACCACCAGGTAAGTCCCCTTTTTTTAAAGTTTTTTAAACAAGTATTTATTTGGCGGTGTCCAGTCTTACGGGTGGCATGCAGCATCTTCACTGTAGCACATAGGAACTTTTCATTGCAGCACGTGAGGGCTCAGCAGTGGTGGTGCATGGGCTTAGTTGCTCCTTGGCGTGTGGGATCTTCTGAGACCAGGGACTGAACATATGTCCATGCACTGGAAGACCAGGGAAGTCCCACATGCTCATTTTCTAACAAGACTCTAAGGGATGTGATATGAACGACACTGCATTCAGGTCCCTCACAAAGATCAGGAACACACTATTCAAGTTACCCTTACTTTTTTGAGGGAATCTATTTCTATTTCCTTTTTATTCCACCTCTCATATAAGTGTATTCCCTTTTGGTGAAGCAGTCCTTCCTGCATTTGTCTTAACTTAAACTTACCTCTTTAGAATTTTTAAGGGGCTATAGCTACAAATCCATTTAAAGAGTAAGTTCATTTTCCTCTTACCTAATCCATTCATGATTTTACAAACTTCTCATATTTTGGTACATCAACCTTAATAATTTTCAGTTCCCTTCTGTCTTTGCAATTTCCATTAACATTCATTCTCCTTTACTTTTCTTGAGATGCATCAGTTAGACTTGCACCAAATATTCTTGGTATGAACCCAGTAAGGGTTTTACAAAAGGGCAAAATTATCTTGCTCCTTTTTTCAATCACTGCTTGATAATACTCAACACTAATACAACACTGACATTCTTTATCACTGGCAATGCCCTAATACTATCAAGAAACACATGAAGTGACTCCAGTGGTCCCCTTTGGTTCATAATGGATAAAAAAATGAGTTCTTGGCTAAGTTAGGAGAAAGTCAGGTGCCACTTTGCCCACTCACGGAAGCTGGAGACTCTTGTACATTTTACCCTTTTTTTAATCCTAGCATTTCATCACTGTCAACAGTTGAGCATCATGCGCAAACAGTGCATTTCATGTAATATTCACTCATTCAGAGTATGTATAAAGGGTAGAACTCACAGGAAGATCACAGTCTGTAAGAGCACTAAAAAACTAACTCATTCTTCAGCTACATGCCATTAACACTATGAATGCTAAATGAAAAGCCAACAGGGCCACTACACCTCGTCACACTTCTTTCCTATCTCTGAGCCCTGTCCTCATTTCTCCATCTTAGTTTTTATTTTTTAAAATAACTTTTAGTGTGAATCTTTTTAAAGGCTTACAAGGATTAAATATTTATTAACAAATGGGCTGATTACCCTTTGACTAAAAGTCTATTCTATTCCACAATTCTAATAGATTTTCCTCTAAAACTCTGAGGAGAGGAAATTTTGGTTAGGCTTTTCATGTATGTAATGAGAGTTTGGGGAGTAAAAGCTCCAGAAGAGCGTGGGCATACTACAGGGAAACTGTTAGTCAAGATGGTGGCAAGCTAAAACCTACACACAAAACAGCAGTTAGGAGACACATCAAGGGAAGGGAATGAACATGTAACCATCTACAACATGGTAGGTCCTGTGTGAGGCTCATTCATGTTATTCCCAGATAAAATATCCAAAGTTAGGGATGACGAGTACCTTCCTCCATATAAATCAGTGTGTAAATGAGAGATAAATAAAATGGAGAAGCTATTTATTTCACCAGGATGCCTCACAATGTTTTACTGTGAATTAGCTCTTTGAATCATCTTAACATTCTTAGTAGTCAGTAAGCTCTGTGAATTTCAGAACCACACTTTACTCACCTGCATAACTCACAGGGTACCCAGCACAGGGCCTAAAATACTTTCAGTTTAATGTTATCAGAGGGCAAGTCGTATTTCCATTTTACATTTGCGATATATCTGAGGCCCTGTAAGAGATTCTGTAACTTGCTCAATGTTCTCCAATGAAATAGGAAGAAGTAATCAAAGTGCCACCCAGCCTCACCTAACCACAGAGCAGCCACATTTCTATTATGCGGTTTGTTGTTTTTAGTCACTAAGTCGTGTCCGACTCTTTTTCGACCCCATGGACTGTAGCCCGTCAGGCTTCTCTGTCCATGGGATTCCCCAAGAAGAATACTGTGGTGTGTTGCCATTTCCTGCTCCAAGGGATCTTTCTGACCTAGACATTGAACCCAAGTCTTCTTCATTGGCAGGTGGATTCTTTACCACTGAGCCTCCACAGGAGTTCAATTATGCAGTTTACTCCTGATTATTTCAAGTGATCAGGGAAATGGCAGATCTAGTATGGTTGTAAATTTGGAAAGGCAACATGCCAACACTAAACATAATTCCTTCTGATAACAAATATCAAAAATAGCATTTGAATATTTACTATGAGCCAGGCACAATGTTGAGTACTTTACATACAAACTTAATCCTAATTATCCTATTATAGAGTGACCATTACACTTATTTTACAGATGAAGAAACTGAGGCGTAGAGATTAAGTAAACTGACCAAGGAGAGACATCTATTAACAATGGAACAATGAGAATTTGCTGCTCATTCTGTAAGACTCTGTCTCTGTTTTTAACTACATCCCTATGGAATGACAAATACTATTTACCTATGGACACCAGCTATACAGTGTAGCCCTACTACGTGGGGCTTATGGGTTAACCTGAGAAGAAAGAAAGAGTGACACTGCATGAAAGCTGCACATGCACTTATATTCAGTTGTGTAATTCCAGCCCTTCCAGGGCCATGGGGATAGAGCCTTTTCTAAACAACCAGGGGTGCTGATGGGATTCTGAAACCAATGAAAGCTGAGCAGCAAAGGAGAGCCTCCCACCTCCAACACCTGAGTCTTCTATGGAACTTCTTGGTAAGCTATCTTTTCTTCTTGGCAGAGCTCAAACATGACATAATGAAATCTTAATAACTGCTCTGTGTTGGCAGCTAGACCTGAAGGAACCTACAATAATTCAGTGCCCTCTTCACTTCCACCCTCTTCCTCCTCTGTCCATTAGAGCAGCAGATAAATCAACAACATTCTTGAGAGTCCTTAAAAGCTTTCAGATCTATAGCCCAGACTTTAACACTTCACACAATTGAGGCAGTCCTTACTGTTAGAGACTGTGAAAAGTGGAATCGTCTCTCTACTCGAGAATCATTGGGTAATTTGAAAATGATTTTGACACTTTCAGGGTCATCAGGGGAAGGCTCTGGGGGCAGACACTCCAACTTCCTTTCCTTCTCCTCTTGTAAATTCTGTAGAGACACAAAGCAAAGGTAAGACTATGGTTCCAACTAGGGAACAAGGAAACAAGAAATACAATCATATCATGTAGGTTTACTGGGAAGTATCAGGAAAAAACTTCTTGGCAAGAGTCAGAAACATTTACTTCAAATTATATTTATTTGATTACACACCACTGCATCACATGTATTATTTATTGACTATGTTAAGGTATGCAACTGTTAGAAAAAAGGGAATGACTAAAAGACACTGGCTATAATCAAGCAGCAATATGCAATGATGAAACAAGATCATGAATTAAATGTCAGATGAGCTAACATTGGTACTTGAATGTTTAAACACTACTGCTGTGAATTAGCATATTGAACTGTTTACTATCTGTTTATGCTTCCTTTTCATGGAACAGAGCTGTTTTACATAACCTTTATACTTACTCTTTTTTTTTATACTTACTCTTATATTTGTTTTAATAAACTTTTTAAAAATACTTTTTGTGAAAAATGTAATAAATATTAAACTGGCACGGAGAATTTAAATCATTCACAATCCTATCATCTACTTTTTTCCTTTCACACTTAAGAAAAGACCAGTCTGGGAGTCACCAGAAGCAGAGACAGGCTCCTCACCCGCCGCCGCCTCTCTTCTGCCAGCTTCTGCTGTTGCACCTCTTCCTCCTTCCGCCTCTTCCGTTCTCGCTCCTCTCGCTTCTTTCTCTCTTTCTCCTGGTCAGCTCTGAGAGAGGCCAGGTAGGCCTCATCCTGTTGTTGTCTCAGCACCTGGGTCTGGTTTCGTTCTTCCCTGTGGACAGATCAAAAGCACAAAAGGAAAAGATAAATCTCACAAAACCCTGTGTTTCCTTGAAACTGAAATTTTTTAGGGGGTTAAAAAGGTTGACAATCTCGGCAAATGACTATTTCACACTACCATGAGAGAGTACAAAGAAGGCATGCAGAATCTAAATGCACTGTTTCTTGTCTTAATTTAATTTGGCAGAAAAAGAAACAGCGAGCTTTTCCATCTCTCTTCAATTTTTCATGTAAAACTATCCTTTCTCCCCAATCTTAACAGAAGTAACTCAGTATTATTGCCATCAAATGATCATCAATATCATATTTTATAGGTAAATACCTTCTTGGGTAACTGCATTTTTGTATATGTTGCTTTTATAAAATGAAAAAATCACACACATATTTTAGCAGATTTGAAAAATACAGAAACACCTTATTCAGAGTTCTACTAATCAAAAAGAAAACACTAACATTTTGGGATATTTTTCTCTCTGGAAAATTGGGTATGTATGTAGAATGTTATGTGTCTGTGTCTGTAAAATTAAAAGAAAATATCCCAGAATGTTAAAGTGGTGGTAGGATTATGAATTATTTAAAATTTCTTCTTTGTGCTTTTCTGTGTTTCCTGAATTTTCTACATTAATTCCTGTATATTACTTATACGATGAGGTGAGGAGTTATAACCATTCCTCAGTTTTTATATTTAAGTTCTTTATATCATGTTCAGCTATTTTAAATGACACTATTTATAATCCTGAGCACAGAGTCTTATCTTTATTTTGAATGACATCTCCAAGGACAAATGATCTGATGGAGTTATTTAGGTCAAAGTATCAATATACGAATATTTTAACATTAAATGCACAAGGCTTTTGAAGTTGCCTAACACAGAGAAGAAGTCAGGATTTGTGAAGCCCCAGGTAAGGCACCCATGTCTGCAGCTGGTCTCTCAGTTCCAGAGAGGAACTCCCCTGTACCTCTCTAGGCGTTCGGACACCAGGTAAGTCTGATTTGCATCCATGATAAATGTCAGCTGGTTAATGAGGTCATCAGGCTGAATGAGGCCTTCTAGACGTCCTACCACAGTCATCCTCCGATCCTTCAACATAATCATGGCCAGGAATGGATAGGTGTTTTCTCTTAAAGCCTGAGAGACTGACAGAAAGAAGATCCAAAAGATCAAGGGCAGGACTTAGGGATGAAAGAGATTAATTCTTAGAGTTCACACAACAAGCAAGAGATAACTGCTTTAGTCTCAACTGGGAAACAATGGAGGTGTCATTTATTCCCTGCCTACCTTTTTTCCTCTCCTAGTTTCTCAATCTTTTTGTTGTTGTTGTTGTTGTTGTTGTTGTTATATATTCGTGTCCCTATGTCCAATAGGACAGGCTTTTCTGGTGGGGTGTGGCTGTCATGATGATGCTAGAGCAGGCTGCAGAGTTCAAGGACAATGTCTATTTGACAGAGCAAAAAGGATATACAAAGGACTCTGGCTACTGCTTATTATAATAATCTTCCTTTGTGTTTGTTGGGGTCAAGCCTAAAGAGGTCAAGGCTGCAACTCTCCAGTTTTCTGTTACTGGTGATGATCTCAACCATCATCTTCCCTATCTTTTGTTCCTTTTATCCAATCCCTTCCTTATCCCCTTTTCCTATGTCCCATACATGCTACCCAATAAAAAAAGGGCTAGCTTTTCTATTCTGAAGAAGCTTAGAAAGTTAGTCCTTCAAATAACTAAGATTTTACCATAACAGTTTTACCTTATGATTTGAAAGAAGAGATTTTAAGCTTCTACTGAAAATATCCTTAGTCTCCTTCTATCACTGCTCCAAAGCCATATTAGAATGGCAAATATGCAGGGACTTATCAGCTGTTTAAAAACCAATGAGGAACAACAATTTGGATTCCAGGATGCAGACAAACCATCTCCTGCATCTTTGGTTCTCAGGATTTAGCACAGAACCTGTATGCCAATATACTCAAAAGTTGCTGAACAGAAGTAGCTGCAAAGTAAACTATGTTTTCCTTCACTAGATGCCTTTATATCTTATGGTGGTTTAGTTGCTAAGTTGTGTCCAATTCTTGTGACCTCATGGACTGCAGCCTGCCAAGCTCCTCTGTCCATGGGATTCTCCAGGCAAGAATACTAGAGTGGGTTGCCACTTCCTTATCCAGGGGATCTTCCCAACCCAGGGATCAAACCTGGGTCTCCTGCACTTCAGGCATATTCTTTACCGACTGAGCTACCACAGAAGCTGGTGTATCTTACACTGACTTCTAAAGATATTTACCTCCAGTTAAAAGTTAGTTACAGTCAGTAAAGATCTGAGCTTTCTGAAGCCCTATGGGCACTCAACGTACTCAAACAACTATCTCACTGTGCAAGAAGCTCCGGTAAAATTGCTAATGACAAGAATAAACTCTTTGGTAAAAAGCCCACTAAGATTAAAGGCAAGTTGCTGGCTAGGACTGGGTATTTTAAAAAATAAAACAGGTGCTGGCAATGGTTAACTGTAATAAGTGGGTTAGAGTCTGACAGACCTGAGCGTGCTCCAAAACTTGCTAACTGTATGATCCTGGGCCAGCAGCTGAAATGCCTAAACTATACAGTGGAGGTAATACAACCCCCACCTCTTATGACTGCTGAGAGGATTGGTTGGCCACAGAATGGTCATGTGTTAAATGTTATGTCCGTCCAGATTATTTGAAAGATATTCTAACAATTTCAATAAGGGAAGAAAAAAACCACAACTCACCCCTGTATCCCTCAGGTTTGTTTGTGGAGCACGCCCAGAAGAGCATCCTGGTGTTTATCAGTGAAATAACTTCAGGTGCGCAGAGTGTGTTGCTGTGGAGAGGGATGAAAATGACATGAGAAGAACTTGCTTACCACAACCATCAGCAGCTAAGATCAGAAAAGAGGGAGAGAAAAAAACAATCCACTTACCGACAGAATTCATCAGAGTCCTGGTGATCATCTCCATGAAGATAAACCAAAAGAAAGCGAAGCTCCCGTTTAGCATCATTAAGTGCCTGTGAGAAACAGAAGATCACTAATTATGATGATACTGTGCCTCAAACTTTTAATTAGGATATGGCTCCTAATGGATACAGCTATGTATTTAGAACAAAAGAAGAAATAAGGAAAGAAGATAAGCAAGAAAAAACTCCTGGACTTCTATCTTCACACCCTTGGCATTCCTCTCCCAATAGAAAGTCCATATGCTAATAAGCTTCAATGAAAAGGTTTTTAGTGTTGTTAGGATTTAAATTGTATTAGGCAAGTGAGAATAAGCAGGCTGACAGAAAAAAGCCCCATGCAACCATAGAAAAGTCAGCTGTTCCCACAGTCTAAAGGAAGATAAAAACAGGAGAATCTGACCTGAAAAGGGAGATGAGAATTTTGCCACTTTACAGCTACTGCATAATAAATACTGTGAAGATAAGCCTGATCCCTGGCCACATGCCAAACAGGGATGAGAAAATGAGGGGCCCAAAGGCATTTTAAAAAGCATGAGTTTTAAAAGATCTTCAAAAACAAGGCAAGTGCCCAAGATTCCTGTGTGTGCTTTTGCATTTGTAGAATCCTGCACATATTACAATTCAATTAAGATTTCCTGAATGACCAATAGGGGTCTACCCTCAGGATCACAGCAAAGAGGGTGTATGAGAGGACCCATCTCATTCACGACTGTATCTCTAGCATTGAGCACAACGTGTGGCATATAGCCGGTGCTTAAGGCTTACTGAGTGGGGTGGGAGCAGCCAGTGAGAAAAAACAGATGTGGGAGAATCACACAGGAAGCAAGAGTTAGCATTTTTCTCCTTTTCCAGATAGATTCAGGAATCCTGGAGGCTGCAGAATAGAACCACCCTTAGAAGAAGCCCACAGTGCTACTTCTACATTTTTTTCTGGTAAAGTAGGGGTATGCCCAACACCCATAGAACTCCTACTAATTTTCGCCCCCTGAGAGATAACAGTCAAAGGTGTGTGTTGCTTGGGTTAAATGAGATGTGCTGTCTTGAGTCTATGGTCTATGGCCTCATTCAGTTCTGTGAGGGATCCAAGAAGACTTAGGCTTTGCCTATAAGGAGCTTATAGTCTGTATAGGAGATAAGACATGAACACAAACATCTGTAAAATAAAATAAGGAAGACTGAAATTGCTATAACATCAAAAAAAAAACCACTATGAAAGTACAAAAGACTACTTTAGTCTGTAAGCAGGCAGGGTAGAATGCAGCAATCAGGAGAGGTACAAGAGGGGAGAGACATGAGCTGAAGGATGGGCAAGATTTCAGTTAAAAAAATGTGAGGAAGGCATTCCAGACAAAGGAAACAGTAAAGTAAAAGAAAGGCACAGAGGTGGGATGTTACAGAGTGTGTTAAGGGGACTGTTTAGCTGGAACCTATGGTACAGGCAAACAAGTTATGTGGGAAAGACCTCAAAAGGAGGTTGGGATTAGATCAAAGGGGGCCCAGCTAAAGGGCATGTGTGTGTGTGTAATAAAAAGTCATTTAAAGTTTTTGAGTAGTGATCTGTGCTGGCCTATGCTTTCCTTTGAGGACAGAACCATATCAATAAATTGGCATCTATATGGTTTGTGGCACTGACCTGGCTGTACGTTCCCAGGTAGAAGACAGGGTGTGCCCTCCCATATTTCTCTTCAAAAGAGTGCATAAATGAAACAATGTCCCCAACGGGATCAGTGACCCGGCTGCGAGGGTCAGGCCGTATAAAACGAAGAGCAAACCTGGGGAGGAAGGAATAAATATCACATGAATCGGCTTACTGTAGTGCATACGGAATGGGCCAGTTTGTAAAGATTCCTATAGCAGAGCCACAGGCATGGCAGAAAAGGGAGGTGAAACACCTGTGAGTGGACCATCAAACCTGAGAATACAGTCTGGCTCAAAAGCCACAAAGCAGCAAGTTGTGCCACTGCCTGTTTAAGAAGAATGCAAACTACTAGGATTATAAATTTCAACACTGGTGTAAACAAATCTTAAGTGCTTTTTGCAGAAAAATTTAGGGCTAAAAGAACTGGGAAAGGAAGACACAATATCCACAAAGGTCATGAGTCAGGCTGTGCACTCAGACTCTCGTAATGGCACTGTCTAAAACAGCAGCAAAGAGCCACATATGGCTATCTAAATCATCAAGGAAATTAATACAATAAAAAAATTTAGTTCATCACTCACAACAGCCATATTTCAAGTGATCAATAGCTTCATGTGGCTAATGGCTTCCACACTAGACAGTGAAGATACAAAACATTTCCATCATCACAGAAAGTTCTATTAGACAGTGCTGTTCTAGAACAGAGCTGTCTCTTTCCAGTTGTTCTACTTGCCTCTCCCTTTTCTTTCTGTTCTCCTGGAATTTTGAATTATGAATCCACATTCCCAAACTATTCAGATTATGGGCAAGAACTTCAAATCCAAACTTGCAGTCATGATTTACTTGCTCATCAATGGGGCAAGTAAATTCTGCTCAGTGATTTATGGTTGACAGCATCCATAGAGGAAGTTATAAAATGGATCTAGACAGCACTTGGCAGAGTTGGAGACTTGGCAGTTACTTAAGTTTTAAGATGGTACTTCTGTTTCTGAAGAGGCCATCTTATCACATTTGTATAGTACCATTTATTTATCCTTTGGGTTTCCATAAAAGGCAAAGGGCTTGATAAGTCAAGGTGCTACATAACATTAAACAAGTTGCTTGGATGATACAGTTGCATTAAAATTAGTAACACATGCCATGCATATTTTTTCCCAAGGAAGCGAACAATATTCATATACTTGAAGAAATTTCAGCATAGAAAAGCTAACTACACTATGATACTCTCCTTACCAAATACTAAACCAGTTCTTTATCCCCTTAACAAATCCCCAATATACACACAAGGTCACTTGGAATTTCTCCTGAATAATCAAATCTAACTCATTAACACAAACATTCCAGAGCAAATTAAAAACAAAAGAAAGAAGCTGTGTATGTGGATGAGTGACTAGAAATCCTTAAGATTAATGTTTTGATAACTTTCTCTGAAATCAAGTATTTTAGGATTATCTTATTACTCCAAGTTTTCAAATTTTATGAATGAATGAATAAAGGTTTTAATTATTTTTTGTTGTTGTTCTTTCTCATCACAATATATTCCAATGGCCAACACAATTTAGGACAATTAGCTTATAAAAAACAAAACAACAGAGATATCAATTCAGTCTTCATTATGATTTTGAAGATTTTTACATGCACCTCTGAAGCTGGTCAGTCCATACCTTCAGGCTCTGTTCCCTAGAGTAAGGTAAAGATTAGCCTGTATTCAGAGGCAGGTACAGGTTGTGCTGTATGCACACAAGGCTACATCTCTTGGCCTGGATGCCCATAAACATTCTAGTTCTCCATAAAGTTTAGGTGTGGATTCATCTATTACTGAGTTCCAGATCAGCCACTCAAGTCTGATGTGCACCTTGAGTCCCCTGACATTTTCCAGTCTTTCTGTAGCTTCCTGTGCTGAGCTCTCCAAACGATAAAAGGAAGTGAGAAGAAAAGTGAAGGTGTGAAGCAAGGGTGTACACACTCGTGGAAGCGTTATAGTGCCAGCAAGCTATGGGTTGCCAAGACAGACGGAAATGTACAGAAAGGGTGTCTAGAACAGTGAAACTGTTACAGGAGGAATGTGGAGGAAAATGGGTCATTTCAGAGCAAGTCAATCTGTTGGAACTATGAAGGTGTAAGATGGTTTAGGGTGAAAGCTAACAAGGAGTGTGAAGCTAGTAAAGGTAACAAAGGTTGGAACAGAAAGTGTGTGAAGACTAACTAGGGAATGTAGGGGGAAAACATGGTGGGATAGGGAGGATACAATAAATATAGGCAGACTCATTTGTGAAAATGGTAACATCTGCTGTTATGTTCGAAAAACCAAAAATATTTTCATGCTATATGAAATACTTCAGGAAGAGTATTCAATATGATGATAAACTGGCAAGTCAAAATTGGTAAGAGCATAAACCTTATTCTGATCTCTTTCTGCTCCAAAGTCTACCCTGTTGCTACTAAACACATGGATACAAAGGTACATACCTAAATATATCAAGTATTGTATAATAGGTAAACCGGAATGGAAGCATTATCAAGTAATAACCCCATCCAAGCAGCCCCTGAAATTCCAAAAACAAAGTTAGATATCATTCTCTCAACCCCTAATACCTTAATTGCTAGTTAAGATTTTCATTCTTTTTTGTCCTTTACATGATTTCTCCTTCTGTCACATATGGTTCTCTTTTCCTGGACCACTTCATCTTTCTTAAAAAACCAACTACTTTTGACCTCATTTCATCTAATACTATCATAATTTTTGTATTAAATCTGCTTGAACACTTTTTGTGCAGCTACTTATATTACTTGTCAAATTCAATTCCAAGTTTTCCTCCCCAAATCATAAATATTCATTCTTTCATTTTTAGAGTTAACACATTAAAATGCAGTACACAGAAATAACAAGAAAGATAACCAATATTAGTACCTTGGACCTCTGTATATAAGTGATGAATAATTATACTAATCACAATTACAAATCTCCAAATAGCTGCTAATCTCAATAATAGTGTTAATTATTTTAACAATATTGATTATTGCTGCTCTTATTATTAACTAATAAATTCACAGGGCTCTATAGCTTACAACGCATTTATTATATTGGGTTAATTTGATATCCTCTTTGTGTCCATGGCCAGGCAACTCCAGAGCTCTGGAACTCCATTAGTCGACATTAGGGTCTCAAACACAAGTCAAGCCCAAAACAAACTGGAGAAACACTGGGCACATATAGAAGGACTCTTCTTTTTTCTCTCTCTCGTTGCATTGCACAGCTTGTGAGATCTTAGTTCCCTGACCAGGGATTGAACCTGGGCCCTGAGCAGTCAAGTGCAGAATCCTAAGCACTGGACTGCCAGAAATTCTTTGAACTACTCCTTGAATCATATAATCCTCTAAGATTCTGTGCTCTTCTACTGCAAAATACCCTACAACAGCTACTTAGAAACTCTTTTTTTAAATCTCACCAAGTAGTCTGCAAAAGGAAAGATGGAATACATTTTAAATTCAAGTGTAAGAAGTGAGTGTTAACTCTTAAGAATAAGAGAAACTCTAAAAGTTCTCTGGAGTTCACTGTGAGTATACACACCTGACTTCCCTAATCTGACTGTGAATAATCTGAAGAGAGAAGAATGCCTCTTTATTCACCTCTAGATTCCCAACAGCAAAATATCAAGTACCCTGAAACACTCTTAAATGCCAACTGAATATAACTGAATCACCTCCTTGCTACTACTAGCCCTGAGATTAATTTCAAAGACATGGCCAAGGCTCCCACAGAACTTCCAAGTATTTCCCTAGAAGTAGCTTCAAATTAAACAAAATGAAACGGCAAAGAATTCAGTAAACATTTTAGCTTAAAAGTACAGGATCTACTAAACATAGAGCAAACATTTTAAGACATGTAGATACATACAGATAAAGTGTCATAAACACAAAACAAGGCATAGAAAACTCTTCAAGTAACTGGTGTAGAAAAGGGAAAAAAAGGATAGTTACTTTCATTGCTTCACTAAGGAATCAAGAAAAAAATGATAAACCCAATAAATCTACCAAGGAGCTACGTCAAGCTAACAGGTTTATATTCTCAATATTCCTTTTGCTCCTACCATACAGAGATCAACATAACCAAGTAAAAGAACTTTAAAAATAAAAAAGGGAGTGGAAAAAAAAAAAAAGAAAAAAAAGGGAGCAGTTCGAGCTGTGAAATAACTTGCCCTTGGTTGCGGTCTTGAGACGACATAGCTGTAGATCCTGTGGTCAGCTGTGTTCACTTGCAAGGGCCGAGACGGTGGTGGGTTGAAAACACTTGGTACACCCTCCTGCTCGTTCAATCTGTCCTGTACGGCAGCCTGAGAAGAAAGAGCAGGAGCGCTTCAGTGATGCTCAGATCAACCTAGAAGAGATGACTGCTGCTGGTGTGTCAGAATAGCTCACCAAGGAGTACATATCATGAGCCTTTTTTTAACTTGCTAAGGTGGGAGGCAATGTGTGGTGATGGCTCCAGAATGCATACACAGAGGAGTCCCAACGAACTTGTCTGGAAGCTCACGGCTTTTATTCAGATGGTATATGCTATTTAGGGTGGCCGGGATACAAGGTGTTTCACTGTACAAGCAGAAGGAAAACCACCCACAGAGCACACAAAGTGTAGACAGTGCAATGGAGCCATCTTGATCGGTTGGTATTGAGGGAAAGCGTGGCTTTGGAGCAGAGAAAGTTAGGTCTGAATCCTAGCCCCAGCACTGAGAAAAGTTGCTCGGCTTATGTGCCTCAGTTTTCTCACATGCAAAATGAATAAACAATACTTTTCAGGGTTACTTTGAAAATTTAATGAGATGATCATACAAAATTCTAATATAATTCCTGGCACAAAGATGATATTCAGTAAAAAAAAAAAAAGTCTCATTCCTTTTCTAACTCTGCCCCTGAAACTGGATATTTGTCCCAGTGTAGTTGAAAAATCTGGCTTTACCCAAAGGGAAGTTTGATCTCTACCTTCAACTTCTGGAGGTAATCTATGTCACAACTGGTAAGAGTATCTTTGCTATGGGATTTTATGGTGGGGCTGAGCACCCTAGAAAGACCAACCATGTAATTTAGGCTGGGACGAAGTCAAGTGGGCCTTATGAAGCATCACTATGCACAAAGCTAATGGAGGTGATGGAATTCCAGCTGAGCTATTTCAAATCCTAAAAGATGATGCTGTTAAGGTGCTGCACTTAATATGCCAGCAAATTTGGAAAACTCAGCAGTGGCCACAGGACAGGAAAAGGTCAGTTTTCATTTCAATTCCAAAGAAAGGCAATGCCAAAAGAATGTTCAGACTACCACACAACTGCACTCATCTCACACTATTAAAGTAATGCTCAAAAATTTCCAAGCCAGGCTTCAACAGTATGTGAACCAAGAATTTCCAGATGCTCAAGCTGGAGTTAGAAAAGGCAGAGGAACCAGAGATCAAATTGCAAACATCCTCTGAATCATAGAAAAAGCAATAGAGTTCAGAAAAACATCTACTTCTGCTTCATGGACCACACTAAAGCCTTGAACTGCGAATCATAACAAACTGTGGAAAATTTTTAAAAAGATGGGAATACCAGACCAGCTTACCTGCCTCCTGAAAAATCTGTATGCAGGTCAAGAAGCAATACTTAGAACCAGACATGGAACAATGGACTTGCTGAAAATTGGGAAAGAGGTACGTCAAGGTTGTATATTGTCACCCTGCTTATTTAACTTATATGCAGAATACACCAAGTGAAATGCCTGGCTGGGTGAAACTCGAGGTGGAGTTAAGATTGCCAGGAGAAATATCAATAACGTCAGATATGCAGATGACACCACCATTACAGCAGAAAGCAAAGAGGACCAAAAAGCCTCTTGATGAAGGTGCAAGAGGAGAGGGAAAAAGTTGGCTTAAAACCCAACATTCAAAAAATGAGGATCATGGCAACCGTTCCCATCACTTCACGGCAAATAGATGGGGAAACAATGGAAACCTTGATAGACTTTATTTTCTTGGGCTCCAAAATCACTGCAGATGGTGACTGCAGCAATGAAATTAAAAGATGCTTGCTCCTTGGAAGAAAAGCTATGACCAACCTAGACAGCTTATTAAAAAGCAGAGAAATTACTCTGCCAACTAGTATAGTCAAAGCTATGGTTTTTCAGTAGTCATGCATGGATGTGATAGTTTGACCATAAAGAGGGCTGAGCACCAAAGAATTGATGCTTTTCAACTGTGGTGTTGGAGAAGACTCTTGAGAGTCCCTTGGATTGCAAGGAGATTAAACTAGTCAATCCTAAAGGAAGTCAACCCTGAATATTCATCGGAAGGACTAATGCTGAAGTGCCAATACTTTGGCCGCCTGTGCAAAGAGAAGATTCGTAGAAAAACCCTGATGCTGGAAAAGACTGAAGGCAGGAGAAGGGACGACAAGAGGATATGAGGATTGGATGGCATCACCAACTTGATGAACATCAGTTTGAGCAAGCTTCAGGAGGTCGTGAAGGACAGGGAAGTCTGGCGTGCTGCAGTCCAGTGTCACAAAAAGTCGGACACGACTGAGTGCCTGAACAGAGCAACAACACGGTAATAAACAGATACAGCCTATATAAATAAAAGCTCTCTGGAGAACAACATATATATTTTGGGGCTTGCCTGATGGCTCAGACAGTAAAGAATCCGCCTGCAGTACAGGAGACCCAGGTTTCATCCCTGGGTCAGGAAGGTCCCCTGGAGAAGGGAATGGCTACCCACTCCAGCATTCTTGCCTGGAGAATTCCACAGACAGAGGGGCCAGGCAGGCTCGTCTATGCGGCCACAAAGAGACACAACTGAGCAACGAACATTTTCACCTTTAACACATAAATATTTCTAGAGAGGCACAAAAATATCTGGGAAAAAAGCAAAAGAAATTGTTAATACTTCTATGTTGGGAATGTAGGACTTCGAGACAGTAGTAGGGAAGTGATCAAAGCCAGATTTTTTTCATATTTAATCTTAGGATTAGTTTGAACTTTTTAAGCTAAATTTTTTCCTTCTATTAAGTGATCTTTAAAAATTGAAGTATAATTGATCAATTTCTGCTGTATAACAAAGTGACTCAGTTATACACATCTATATTATTGTTCTTCAGTCGCTCACTCATGACCGACTCTTTGCAACCCCAAGGACTGCAGCACACCAGCTTCCCTGTCCTTCACAATCTCCTGGAGTTTGCTCAAACTCATGTCCATTGAGTCGATCATGCCATCCAACCATCTCATCCTCTGTCGTCCCCTTCTTCTCCTGCCCTCAATCTTTCCTAGCATCAGAGTCTTGGTCGACTGGTTTGATCTCCTTGCAGTCCCAAGGACAAGAGTCTTCTCCAACACATCAATTCAAAAGCATCAATTCTTTGGCGCTCAGCTTTCTTTATAGTCCAACTCTCACATTCATACATGACTACTGGAAAAATCATAGCCTTGACTAGATGGACCTTTGTTGGGAAAGTAATCTCTCTGCTTTTTAATATGCTATCTAGATTGGTCATAGTTTTTCTTCCAAGGAGCAAGTGTCTTTTAATTTCATGGCTGCAATCACCATCTGCAGTGATTTTGGAGCCCCCCAATAAAGTCTCTCACTGTTTCCCCATCTATTTGCCACGAAGTGATTGATGGGAATGGATGCCATGATCCTTGTTTTTAGAATGTTGAGTTTTAAGTCACTTTTTTCACTCTCCTCTTTCACTTTCATCAAGAGGTTCTTTTTTAGTTCTTCTTCACTTTCTGCCAGAAGGGTGGTGTCATCTGCATATCTGAGGTTATTGATATTTCTCCCGGCAATCTTGATTCCAGCTTGTACTTCCTCCAGCCCAGCGTTTCTCATGATGTACTTGCATATAAGTTAAATAAGCAGGGTGACAATATACAGCCTTGACGTACTCCTTTTCCTATTTGGAACCAGTCTGTTGTTCCATGTCCAGTTCTAACTGTTGCTTCCTGACCTGCATACAGATTTCTCAGGAGGCAGGTCAGGTGGTCTGGTATTCCCATCTCTTCAAGAATTTTCTACTGTTTGTTGTGATCCACACAGTGAAATGCTTTGATGTAGTCAATAAAGCAGAAATAGATGATTTTCTGGAACTCTTGCTTTTTTAATGATCCAAAAGATTTGACAATTTGATCTCTGGTTCCTCTGCCTTTTCTAAAACCAGCTTGAACATCTGGAAGTTCACGGTTCACGTACTATTGAAGCCTGGCTTGGAGAATTTTGAACATTACTTTGCTAGCGTGGGAGATGAGTACAATTGTGTGGTAGTTTGAACATTCTTTGGCTCTGGAATGAAAATTAACCTCTTCCTGTCCTGTGGCCACTGCTGAGTTTTCCAAATTTGCTGGCATATTATGTGCACCACCTTAACAGCTTCGTCTTTTAGGATTTGAAATAGCTTAGTTGGAATTCCATCACCTCCATTAGCTTTGCTCATAGTGATGCTTCCTAAGGCCACTGACTCTGAATTCCAGGATGTCTGGCTCTAGGTGAGTGATCACACCATTGTGGTTATCTGGGTCATAAAGATCTTTTCTGTATAGTTCTGTGTGTTCTTGCCAACTCTTCTTAGTATCTTCTGCTTCTGTTAGGTCCTTGCCATTTCTGTCCTTTACTGTGCCCATCTTCACATGAAATGTTCCCGTGGTAGCTCTGATTTTCTTGAAGAGATCTCTTAAGTCTTTCCCATTCTATTGTTTTCCTCTATCTCTTTGCATTGATCACTGAGGAAGGCTTTCTTATCTTTCCTTGTTATTCTTTGGAACCCTGCATTCAAATGAGTATATCTTTCCTTTTGTCCTTTGCCTTTAGCTTCTCATCTTTTCTCAGCTATTTGTAAGGCCTCCTCAGACAACCATTATGCCTTTTCACATTTCTTTTTCTTGGGGATGGTACTGATCACTGCCTCCTGTACAGTGTCACCAACGTCCATACATAGTTCTTCAGGCAGTCTGTCTATCAGATCTAATCCTTTGAATCTATTTGTTACTTCTACTGTATAATGGTAAGGGATTTGATTTAGGTCATATCTGAATGGTCTAGTGGTTTTTCTTACTTTCTACAATTTAAGTCTGAATTTGGCAATAAGGAGTTCATGATCTGAGCCACAGTCAGCTCTCATCTTGTTTTTGCTGACTATATAGAGCTTCTCCATTTTTGACTGCAAAGAATATAATGAATTTGATTTCAGTACTGACCATCTGGTGAAGTCCATGTGTAGAGTCTTTGAGAGGGTGTTTGCTATGACCAGCATTCTCTTGGCAAAACTCTGCGAGCCTTTGCCGTTTCATTTCTTCATTTCCTACTAAAAGGCCAAATTTGCCTGTTACTCCAGGTTTCTCTTGACTTCCTACTTTTACATTCCAGTCCCCTATAATGAAAAGCACATCTTTTTTGGGTGTTAGTTCTAGAACGTCTTGTAGGTCTTCACAGAACTGTTCAATTTCTTCAGCATTAGTCACTGGGGCACAGACTTGGATTACTTTGATATTGAATGGTTTGCCTTGGAAACGAACAGAGATCATTCTGTTGTTTTATTTCACTTAGTACAATATAATCTCTGACTCAATCCATGTTGCTGCGAATGGCATTATTTCTTTTTTTCTTTTTTTATGGTTGAGCAGCATCCCATTGTATATACACATACATCACGTGTTCTTTATCCATTCCTCTGTCGGGGGACATTTAGGCTGTTTCCATGCCTCATCTATTGTGAATAGTGCTATAAACATAACAGGGGTGCATGTATCTTTTTGAATTACAGTTTTACCTGGATACATGCCCAGGGAGTGGAACTGCTAGATCATATGGTAATTCTATTTTTAGTTTCCTGAGGAACCTTCACACTGTTTTCTACAATGACTGCATCAACTTACTTTCCCACCAACAATATAGGAGTATTTGTTTTCCCCACACCCTCTCCAGTATCTGTTACTTGTAGAACTTTCAAGGACGGCCATTCTGACTGTACATGACAGCCCCTCACTGTAGTCCTGATTTGCGTTTCTGTGCTAGGTTAAGTGATACTGAGCATCTTTTCGTGTAACTTCAAATGAAAGTTACCTTTATGTATTATTTTTATGAGTTATTGACAGTGAAAAAATGTAAATATGGCATAATTCCATTTATGTAACAAGAAAATTATATACAAATCTACATAGCCATATAAACAAACAAAAAAATGTTTCTAAATAACTTCTGGACCAAAGAAGAAAATAAAACATTTAAAATAATAGTTTCAGAAGATAATTCACAGGCTTAAATATAAGTATGCTAACTAGGTTTCTCAACCCATTTTATCAAGTCAGTCATTTTTTTTTTTTTTTTAAGTCAGTCGTTTTTAAAAGCCAGCATATGCTTGAAATAAAAGTCTAACAAGGAGACAATACCAAAGTATCATACAGAGCAACATCATGCCTTCTTCCTAAAATGCATTCCCCCTAAAATTTCACATTCATTACTCCTTTTCATCATTCAGGTGTCAGCTCAAATACAACCTCCCTAGAAAGGCCTTACTTGACCATCCTATTAAAATGACTTTCCTTATCCTCTTTATTCTATTTTCTGTACTCATCTTATTCTCATTTATTACAAACTGAAGCTCCATAAGAACATAAGTCTTATCTGCTGGCATAGTGCAGAGCCTAGAATTGCTCAAAAATAGTGCTGAATAAATAAATACCACTTGTAATCCAGTACTCTATTCAAATAATATACCGTAATTAAACAGTTAAGTTCAACATATATCAAAAGCATGCTTGATTAAACTCAACATCCACTAACAAGCAAGAAAAGAACAGTCAACAGATATTTGAGAGTCTATGATATACTAGGATCAATTTTAGATGCTGGAATACAGCAATCAAAAAACCCAAAAACACTCTGCTCTCATGGAGTTTATTACATTCTAGCGGCTCTATCTCAAAACAATAACTAGCATTACACTTTAATAACAGTGAGGACAAGGTGTTTGCTATTACCATTGCTAACTGAGATTATTCTGAAGTACTAGCCAATTCATCATCAAATAAAACAAAAGATTCATATACTAAAAAAAAAAAAAAAAAATCAAGTTGCAGGTAACATAACCAAATAGAAAATTCAGAAGAATAAATTTTATAATATTTAATAAAAAGGTTCAAAAAATAAATAAATAAATAAAAAGGTTCACATTATGGTATCTGGCTGTAAATCAAATATATAAAAACCAGTATTTTCCCCAAAGAGTCATTAAGAAAAAATAAAGAGGGAGGGACACTATACTGAGGGATTTGGTCACAATCTTTTCTGTGATTTTATAAACTCTGATCATAATCTTCACCTTTCATACAAATTTAAAGACTAAAGAGCTGTAAATTTAAAAAAAAAAAACTATTGAGAGAAGATTTTTGCTGTGAAAAGGAAAAAAAAAAGTACATGTCTTTGAGATCTATTATCAGAGCAGGGAATAAGAAATAAGTACACTCATAATGAATCCTATAATACCTCTATGTTCCAGTTATGCTGTTCCAAGGTATGGCGACATTGATCCATAGATTCTATGCCAGTCAGATCCTGAAAGATAAAAACAAAAAGTTACTTAGGGAAAACCAACAGTACATGGTGAGTATTTTTACCCCAATAGAATACTTATAAATACTGCAGGGGGAATACTCTATAAAGTGCTGAAGGCAAATAGATATTCAAGTATGGTAAAACATCACTATTCAGAATTCATTCAAATGGTTATCATGTATGTTAAAACAAAAAATTTCTTGTCTTAACCTCAAGACTTTTAATTAAAAAGACTACTTGACTATATTCTCTCAAATTCAAGTCTAAAAAATGAAAGATTTCTTCAACCTCTACATTCAGCAAAACAGTCTTTACTGTTAAACATCTATTCTGTTTATAATACATACTCACATAATGCAGGTTTTCTGCAAACATGCCTTTTACTAACTTACATATTTTACCTATTAGCATAAGACTTAGCTTACAATACAAACTGTGAAACTTTTTATTAAAAAGAATCTGTAATTCAGATGTTTCCCTCCTGTAAGTACTCTCCCTACTCCCTTCTCCTTACACGAGTCTTAGGTTTCACTTTGTCTATGATCAAATAAATCTGCGCTGACTCTTCTTTCATCACCCTCTAAATGTAGAAAATTTCCTGAAGATGTATCTTTGGCTTTTGCCTCTTCTAGGCAATCTCATTTAATCCTCAGCCTTCAATGATCCTTTCCATTCAAATGATTCCTAAATGTATTTCTTCTCTTCTGAAGTTTGGCAGCACATTTCCAATAGCCATTTCCATCTAGATGTGGCACAAGTACCTCAAATACATCATTTAAAACTACTGTATGCGTTAATGACACCACCATCTTCCAAACTATAGAGGCAAAGATGACATCTGGAACCTCAGTCGCATCTGAGTACTCTATACATTGAAATACACACTTCATTGATAACCAAGTTCTGATGGTTTTTTGTATCTAGAACCGTATTTCCATTCCCATAGCTGGCATCTTCAATCAAGCTTTTATGATACCTCAAGTGAATGCCCGGGTCTCCCCACTCGTGTGTGTGTGTGTGTGTGTGTGTGTGTGTGTATTACTTCTCTGCTCAAAACTTTTCAGCTAACTGGATAATAAATTCCAAAATTCTTAGCTTGGTATTCAAGTGTTCCTACAATGTAGCCCCAACCTAGACTTCTGCATTATTTTCTATTTTCCTTTAGGTATCCAATACTCAACAAACCTAACAGCTTCTGTGTATACCAAATGACCAGAACTTCCACAAAGCTAAATCCTAGCCTTCCTTCAAGGTTTAAGAGAGAAACCAAACCTACCCGTCTATCCTTTCATGCAACATATGTCTACTGTTACTGTCTATTCTGTGTTGTTACTATGTCCAGGGATACAGGGATACATACGCAGTCTCTATCCTCAACAAATCCTTCTTAATAACCAGCAAGCAACTGGAAAAAAGAAACTGATCTCAACCTGACAAGAATGTGGTAACATGCACTGGTGAGTCAGGAGGCTGAGATTCTTGCTTTGGTTCTGTAACCTACGATCAAAGTGAAGTGAAGTGAAGTTGCTTTTTCGTGTCCGACTCTTTGCAACCCCGTGGACTGTAGCCCACCAGGCTCCTCCGTCCATGGGATTCTCCAGGCAAGAATACTGGAGTGGATTGCCATTTCCAATCAGACATAATTGAATTCCAGCTTCCTTTATGTACAACATGAGGGATTTAATTTGGACTGAATATCCTTTCCAGAGCTTAAAAGAACAAAACAAAAACCAAAGTTTGCATTCTTTAGATATGTAATTGTTTTTTTTAATTACACAGAAATTAAAAAAAATTAAATTACACAGTATAGAAACTGTTAATCTATTTTTATGTTTAAAATACTGCAAAATTTTCAATACTGAAATTAGAAAGCTCTGTTAAGAACTCTAGAGATCTATTAAGAACCGATGGCTATGACAGCTCTGACCATCTTTAATTTTGGTTCCTGACCATTCTGAGCCTCTTACTAGCTTGGCTATTCCCTCCTGGCTTGTACTATGTTGCTGCAAAAGTAACTGCAGTTTTTCATTGTTGAACTTTGCTGTTTGGTATCGGAATACATTCTTTTTTTTTTCCATTTATTTTTATTAGTTGGAGGCTAATTACTTTACAATATTGTAGTGGTTTTTGCCATACATTGACATGAATCAGCCATGGATTTACATGTGTTTCCCATCCTGATCCCCCCTCCCACCTCACTCCCCATCCCATCCCTCAGGGTCTTCCCAGTGCACCAGCCCTGAGCACTTGTCTCATGCATCTAACCTGGGCTGGATATCTGTTTCATACTTGATAATACACATGTTTCAATGCTGTTCTCTCAGATCATCCCACCCTCGCCTTCTCCCACAGAGTACCAAAGTCTGTTCTGTACATCTGTGTCTCTTTTTCTGTCCTACATAAAGGGTTATCATTATCATCTTTCTAAATTCCATATATATGTGTTAGTATACTGTAATGGTCTTTATCTTTCTGGCTTACTTCACTCTGTATAATGGGCTCCAGTTTCATCCATCTCATTAGAACTGATTCAAATGAATTCTTTTTAATGGCTGAGTAATATTCCATGGTGTATATGTACCACAGCTTCCTCATCCATTCGTCTGCTGATGGGCATCTGGGTTGCTTCCATGTCCTGGCTATTATAAACAGTGCTGCGATGAACATTGGGGTGCACGTGTCTCTTTCAGATCTGGTTTCCTCGGTGTGTATGCCCAGAAGTGGGATTGCTGGGTCATATGGCAGTTCTATTTCCAGCTTTTTAAGAAATCTCCACACTGTTTTCCATAGTGGCTGTACTAATTTGCATTCCCACCAACAGTGTAAGAGGGTTCCCTTTTCTCCACACCCTCTCCAGCATTTATTGCTTGTAGACTTTTGGATAGCAGCCATCCTGACTGGCGTGTAATGGTACCTCATTGTGGTTTTGATTTGCATTTCTCTGATAATGAGTGATGCTGAGCATCTTTTCATGTTTGTTAGCCATCTGTATTTTTTCTTTGGAGAAATGTCTGTTCAGTTCTTTGGCCCATTTTTTGATTGGGTCATTTATTTTTCTGGAATTGAGCTTCAGGAGTTGCTTGTATATTTTTGAGATTAATCCTTTGTCTGTTTCTTCGTTTGCTATTACTTTCTCCCATTCTGAAGGCTGTCTTTTCACCTTGCTTAGTTTCCTTTATTGTGCAAAAGCTTTTAAGTTTAATTAGGTCCCACTGATACCGGAATACATTCTTAAATAAATGTGGTGATGTTATATACCATTTTAATGTGCATTTCACACTTTTCTTTTTTTGCTAATGACTTATTACTTGCTGTTTATATTTATTTTAAACTAGGGAAATGACATTAAACAAAAAGCAAATTTGAGTGATTTTTAAATTTGAGCTCACTGGGTGATAAAGCAGGGAGACAACTTGCAACATTCACAATGCATCTGGCCCAGGAACTGCTAATGAACATACAATGCAGTGGTGGTTCAAGAAATTTTGCAAAGGAGACAAGCACCTTGAAGATGAGCATAGTGGCCAGCCATCAGAAGTTGACAATGACCAACTGAAAGCAATCACAGAAGCTGATCCTCTTACAACTACACAAAAAGTTGCCAAAGAACTCAAAGTCGACCACTCTATGATCATTTGGCATTTGAAGAAAGCTGGAAAAGTGAAAAAGCTCATTAAGTGGGTACCTTATGAGCTGACCACAAATAAAAAAAAAATCGATTTGAAGTGTCGTCTCCTCTTGTTTTATGAAACAATGAACAATTTCTCGATTGGATTGTGACGTGTGACAAAAAGTGCATTTTACGCAGCCAGTAACGCCCAGCTCAGTGGTTGGACCAAAAAGCAGCTCCAGAGCACTTCTCAAAGACAAAAACTTGCACCAAAAAAAGTCATGGTCACTGTCTGGTGGTCTGCTGCTGGTGTGACCCACTGCAACTTTCTGAATCCTGGCAAAACCACTACATCTGAAGTATGCTCGACAAATCAGAGAGACGCAGAGAAAACCGCAACACCTGCAGCTGGCATTGGTCAACATAAAGGGCCTAATTCTTCTCCATGACAATGCATGATGCAGGTCACACAACCAACACTTCAAAAGTTGAACGAACTGGGCTACGGAGTTGTGCCTCATCCACCATATTCACCTGATCTCTTGCCAACCGACTACCACTTCTTCAAGCATCTCGACACCTTATTGCAGGGAAAAAGCTTCCACAACCAGCAGGATGCAGAAAATGCTTTCCAAGAGTTCATTGAATCCCAAAGCATGGATTTTTATGCTACAGGAATAAACAAACTTATTTCTTGTTGGCAAAAATGCATTGATTGTAATGTTTCCCATTTTGACTAATAAAGATGTGTGTGAACTTAGTTATAATGATTTAAATTTCACAGTCCAGGGACTTCCCTGGTGGTCCAGTAGCTAAGATTCCCTGCTCTCAATGCAGGAGGCCTGGGTTCAATCCCTGGTCAGGGAACTAGATCCCACATGTCACAACTAAAGATCAAAGATCCTGAAAGCCGCAACTAAGACTTAGTGCAGCCAAATAAAAAAATTTTTTAAATTCAATTTTTAAAATTTGAAGCTACAACTACTTTTGTACCAAGCTAGTCACAGAATCTCCTTTAACTTTTTTTTTTCTTTGCTGTCCACTGCAGAGAACTGGGATGTCAGGGTTCCACTTCTCTATATATTCTCTTTAAGAACTGGACTTTACTTTTACCTTCTTCTCAGGGTATGAATGACCACTGTGTCTTTACCAAAAGTATTTTCTACCTCCCTTATACACCTATCATTTTCTATCATCTATTATGACTATTTACACTCATTCTATTGCCTTATTAGAGGATGCAGGGTCCTTAAGAGCAAGGAATGTGATTCATCTCTATATAATGCTCCCCAGTACCTTGCACACAAGAGATGCAGTTTAGATCCCTTGGTCGGAAAGATCCCCTGGAGAAGGAAATGGCACCCCACTCCAGTATTCTTGCCTGGAAAAT